TAATAGTAGTCCGAAAATTATCTTCACTTTCATTATTAAACAACTTTCTTATTTATAATTTGCGACGTCAGTTGTTTATAGTTTAATCGGCTGTTTTTTTATTTTTTTATTTATTCCTGGAAGGTTTTTTCCATTTGCAAAGTCAGCGTTTAATCGTCGTCTCTTTGCATCCCCCGCCCCACCGCCAGGTTCTTTTAATGTCAGTGCTGGCTGATTCAAATGGTCTGGGAGAAATTTGATGATAGATAGATAGATAGATAGTTTTACATTATTCGGACTATTGTCCATCTTTTGTCACCATATTTATTACAAAACGTTTCAGCCCTTCAGTATCTGTCCCCGAGATGAGGTATTATGTACATTATTTATTATTCAAACTTCCTCATATTTGTCGTCATATTTATTACAACGTTTCGGCCTTTCAGTATCTGTCTATATTTCTGAGATGAAGTATTATGTACACTATTTACATTATTCGGACTATTGTCCTCATCTTTGTTGCAATATTTATTACAACGTTTCGCCCCTTCAGTATCTGTCTATATTTCTGAGATGAGGTATTATATACACTATTTACATTATTCGGACTATTGTCCTCATCTTTGTCGCCATATTTATTACAACGTTTCGGCCCTTCAGTATCTGTCTATATTACTGAGATGAGGTATTATGTACATTATTTACATTATTCCGACTATTGTCGTCATCTTTGTCGCCATATTTATTTCAACGTTTCTGTTGTTGTATGCTTCGGCCTTCTTTAGGTGGTTGGAATGTCGAACTGAACCCTTTATTTCGCTCACTGGGGGAGACTGTTCAATTCCACGTGCCACGTTTAATGGATGTCAGTTATCAGTTATCTCCTCTTAATTCCCCGCTCCAAGTTCTCCACTGCCTTAACCGGGTATTGAACTCACACTCTTTGGGTCCTGTCACTGTATCTAGCCAACGCCTTGTCCTCAAGGACACATGACACGGTGAATATATATAAGATTACACACACACACACACACACACACACACACACACACACACACACATATATATATATATATATATATATATATATATATATATATAGTCATCCACAGACAGACTGCTTCGCTGTATCACAGCTCATCAGTGTGATAGTAACATAAAAAGAAAGAAAGAAAGAAAAAGACGGAGATGTAAATGACTAAACTGAGATAGATAGATAATGAACAGACTGAGATAGATAGATAGATAGATAGATAGATAGATAATGAATAGACTGAGATAGATAGATAGATAGATAGATAGATAGATAGATAGATAGATACGAACAGACTGAGATAGATAGATAGATAGATAATGAACAGACTGAGATAGATAGATAGATAGATAGATACGAACAGACAGACAGATAGATAGATAGATAGATAGATAGATAGATAGATAGATGCCAATATAAAAAATAGATAGATAGAAAAGGGAGAGAGAGAGAAAGAAATAACAAACAGTGATATATATGACTGAATCGAGATATATAGATAGACTAGCAGGAGAGCCCGGCGTTGCCCGGGGATGTAACAGTAAGAGATAGATCAAGTATCGACCACCATAAAGACTGAAAAATAAAATTGACAAAGATTATTGTTTAAGGTTGACGGACACGCATGTCTTAATTAGTTTTTTTTGTTTTGTTTTGTTTTTTTTTTGTTTTTTTTTTTTTTAACGAATTGGTTAAACCCAAACTCAAACAAAAACAAGGTTTTCAATCATTATGAGTCTACCGATTGAATAGAATTTTATTATAAACAATTGTCTTGTAAATGGAATTTTTAAAGCATTCTGAATGTAAAATAAAAAGAAAAAGTGTGCAAGACAATAAGAAACACTACCTGCCAAAAAAAAAGTGAAGTTTTGTTGAAATCGGTTGAAAAATGTAGGAAATCCGATCCCATATATAAACGAACACACACACACAAACGAACCGGGTTTTATGAGTTGTCCCTCTTTCATTTTCGCGATGCTTCTTAATCGTGTTTTCAAACTGATTTCGTGGAAAAAACCATTGTGTTTTTCCAATTTTTGGCGCTGTCAGAACCACCACAAGGTAATTTTACGTAGTCCTGTGAAGTTTTGTTGAAATCGGTTGAAACATGTAGGAAATTCGATCCAATATATAAGCGTACAGACACACACACACACACACACACACACACAATCTGCGTTTTATAATAAGTAAGATAAATAGATAATGACGAGGCCGTGATAGAAAATAGATAGATAGAGAGAGAGAGAGAAAGAAAGAAACAGTGATATATATGACTAAACCGAGATAGTGAGAAAGAAAGAAGGACAGAAAGAAAGAAAAAAAAAAATATATATATATGACTAAACCGAGATAGACAGATAGATAGATAGATAGATATACAAGAATATATATAAACAGATATAAACAGACTGTAATAGATAGATAGATAGATAGATAGATAGATATACAAGAATATATATAAACAGATATAAACAGACTGTAATAGATAGATAGATATATATATAAACAGATATAAACAGACTGTAATAGATAGATAGATAGATAGATAGATAGATAGATAGATAGATAGATAGATAGATATACAAGAATATATATAAACAGACTGTAATAGATAGATAAAACAAAAGCATGAATATAATATAAACAGAAAATATAAATAAAATGTGTTAAAAAGTATATTTATATAGTCTTTTGGTATATTCTTGGAATAAAATATAGTCGGGCAAACAGATACCCTTGTTCTGTAAATAATCAAATGTAGCGTTTCAGCTATCTATACAAGATAGAAAAAAACACCAACTATAGTTTAAAAAGATATTGGTGTCTTATACAGATCCAATGCTATAGAACCCGGTCTGTCCTGCTATTTACCTATAGCTTGGCGGGGAGAAGAGGATATACCTTTCCCCAGGTGTATTACCACGCCAGTCAGTCAGATATGTGGCATGCGTGATACATATACAAAATCATGATATTTCTTTCTTTCTACGGTAAATCAGTTGCTATCCAAGGCTATAGAGGTCTGTCCTATTATAGCCATTTTGTTTCAACTCTTCTGGTGTCTTATTATGATGGTGCTATCTATCTATCTATCTATCTATCTATCTATCTATCTGGAAATAAGCATGGAAAATAATAATACAACACAAAATGTACGTAAACAAAATGTATTGAAACAAGGGAAAGGTACACAATATTTACAGTTAGTTTTGGTATATTCTTGGGAAGACTGTTCCTGTAGAATGGGTTGACTTAATCGCAGTCGGGCAGAGTCTCTGGATTGGATCTCTTCTTCCTCCCTTTATTTGTATTAAAATACAAAATGCGGTACAAGGCCAAAAAACGGGGATGGGGAATGACGGTCTTCATCTGTCTTAAATCTAAACTTAGCTAGTCGCACACACTGACCCAAACACTCCAACAATAATCCAATCACCAAAACAACACATTCACTCCTACCTTTCTTACTACGTCCACCATAATACCTCAGCTTCTCTATGAAGTCCTAACTAGTCCCCTTATGTACAGATATTGTTCATGGGGGGAGGGTCGTAAAATAACAAAGTTTAAAATCCCCAAATGAATATTTACAACGTGACTTAATTATTTACAATAAACTAAACAAAACTGAGTTAGTAATAAAAAACCCCACAAACTATGAATGTGGCAGAAATATCAGTTAACCGGACGAAATCGATGCGGGACTAAGAAAATAAGTACACATTCAAACCATCAAGCATTCACACAAACACTCACTCATTCATACACAACAACAAATACGAAAACACACACACGAAACAAAAGGCACCCCGCATCCACCAGAGAACTGACATCACTAACCACCTAACGAGGGAGGGGATGGGGAATTAAACAAAAGAAAAAATAGGGACAGAAATAAAAGGGACCAATGAGCTTGCATACCCTAGCTAAGTTAACCGGAAAAAAAAAGAAACTAAAAATTCAAAGTCGAAAACCTAGACTAGCCTAATATCTGGGTGGGTTGCCTATGTTCAACCCTGTTAGGACAAAATTCTGTACCTAACCGACATCCAAATGCCACTCTAGGTCAGCCCCTTTCACGTTACACATTCGCGTAAGATTCACCCACCTTTTGCCGAATCCTGATGATGGGAGCCGCCGCCTTTCCGTCCTAATCTTGACTTTAAGCTGATGCTTAAAGTACAAGATCAGTTGGGAAGAGGTGAACCTCTCACCTTCATAGAATCCCTTCTGTCGCGTCGTCCAAATCACGACTCGCATAACCCCTAGTAAGCAACAGAACACATAGTGTTCAGCACCACATTGCTACAAACAGAACTGGCTTCCAGGACAAAAAACTTTCCCTGCAGCATGCGAACTATGAGGCCTTCAACAAACTTGCACAACGGCACTACCGTCTTGCACTGAAAAAAGGCGTGACCAATGGTCTCGACATTCCCAGTACAGCGAAGACAGTTTGAATATTTCTCCAAGCCTGCAGAACAAAGTCTTTTGCCGACCCAGAGGGCCCCACGAATCATCAGCCAGGTGAGTGATGCCTCATCGTTAGTGAGACATTTCAACCCAGGCGCCCAAGGCCATATCGAGTGAGCCTCCTGCTTCGTAAGACCGAGCTCGTCGATCAGACCATCTCGAACGGACCCCCTAACTAACAATCGATATAATGCCTTACGAGACAACGCTTGGGCGTCGGAGAGGCCATCCGACGTCCGCAAGAGGAACTTCAAAGCACGACGACATTCACGGTAGAAGGAGCACTCGACACGAGGAGTACGGCCGGCCTCCTCCTCGCACGAGTGCACACTTCTCATGGATGGGAAATGTTTTCGGACATCTTTTTTCCAAAAGGTGCCCACCTCATCCAAACCACGACACATTCGATCTAGAAAGGTAATGCGAAGCATATATTGACGAATCTCAATGCTAGGCATACCCAGACCGCCCTCAGAGGGATGAAGGCAACAGATCTCGCGAGATGCCATATGGGCCTTGCCTCTCCACAAGAAAGAGAACAAAGCCTGGACTAATGACATTAGTCGGGCATACGGGAGAGGAAGCACAGAAAGACGGTAGAGGAGGATCGGATAGATGTGTGAAACACATACTTCCGCCCTTCCCTTCAGGGAAAGTCTCCTCCGAGGTTACCCGCGGCCTCGACCTGCCCTTGTACCTCCGACCAATTCTTTTCCAACTGGAGATCAGGACCGAACCAGACGCCGAGTATCTTGATCGGCTCGTCCGTCCAGAGGAAAGGTCCGGGAAGAGAAACTCCCTTCCACGCACCCAACCGCAAGCCCACAGACTTATCGCGGTTGATCTTGGCCCCTGTCACCATCTCATACCCACTAATCTGCTTACTGACTTCGTTAATCTCGGCTCTGCTCGACACAAGAACCGAAACGTCGTCAGCATAGGCAGAATACCTGGCCGAGGTGGAAGCACCAGCCAGCGAAATTCCGCGTAGGACCGGATTCGCCTTTAACTTGCAAAGGAATGGCTCCAAGGCAAGAACGTAAAGCAGAGGCGATAGCGGACAACCTTGACGAATGGAGCGAGACAATACGAAAGGCTTCGATCTTACCCCATTCACTTCCACCAGCGCACCGGGGGTCGCATACAAGAGTCGGATCCAGGAGCGAAAGTCGGCTCCGAAACCGGCCGCCGAAAGGACAGCCTCCAAGAAATCGATGGTCAACCCTATCGAAGGCCTTTGGACTGATCTAAATTGATCAGCGCGGCTTCACTGTCGACTTGTTCTAAGATCAAGCGTACCATATGAAGGTTATCCTGAATAGTCCTGCCCTTCAGAGCACAAGTCTGTTCTGGGCCAATCAAACTAGACAGGACAAGCTGCAAACGGTTGGCTAAGATCTTCGCCAAAATCTTTAAGTCAGTGTTTAACATCGTTAAAGGGCGAAAGTTCCCTAACCCATCCCCACCGTCCTTGTCCTTACGCAGCAACTTGATGACACCCATGGTGAAGCGTTGAGGTAAAGACCCTGCCTCATCCAGTGGTTGTACATCAGTTCCAGCAAAGGAACAAAACGTGCGACAACCTCAAGTAAACTTCGTAGGGAAGACCATCTAATCCCGGAGACTTATCCAGGCCAACCTGCTTCAGCGCTTCCCAGATTTCCGACCTCGCACCTAGCCACTTCAGCTGCCGAGAGGGCAAGGAAAGTCAGCTAAATAGGCGTCGAACTGAGCAGAGCTCAGACCGGGCTCCCTGGTGAAAAGCTCCTGAAAGTAATCTCGAAAGACCTCACATATGCCCGCGTTTGTAGTCACGGTCCGCTTATCCGGTAATGTGACGCACGCTATATAAATGCCTGGCCGCGTTTCGATTTTCCCTCTACACGCAGTTCAGCGGCCATATTCGTTGCCTCAGAAGACATTCTTTTTTAACCTAGCCCTAACTACCAGAGCTTGATCCTTCTTGATAAGCAAGGAGGACAACTCTGCCTTAGCTAAGACTATGTCCCCACTAACACGGGATTTCACGGCCCGATCAACTTTTTCTTCTAACGCCGTTTGCGCCGCTAATCTATCTAGATTTAGTCGACGACTAAAATTGGCAGCAAACGTTCGAATCTTAGATTTTAAATTGCCCCACCAGGCATTTCCCACAACCGCTCCCGTCAATTCCCTTTGGATCGTTAGTAACAGCTGGTCCCAGAAACTCTGGTCACCGAAAAGCGAACAGTTCAATTTCCAGTAACCAGCCAACCTAACCTTAGGCTTATCTAAGTTTACACAGACCCGGACAAGCCTATGATCCGTATAAACTATATATCGGAAACTTGGACACCCTAAGAGCCCTACATCGACTCTCCTAACTAAGACTCGGTCCAGGTAGCTCGCACGCGAGCCAGGAGCCGAGTTGCCACTAGTTGTCCAAGTCCATGCTACCTCCCGAGGGTGTTCATTCCGGAACTTATCGACGAGATCAAACCCATCGATAAAGTCCCGAAATGGTTTCACATCCGGGTTGTTAGTACCTTTTTTATGACCTATACGATCTATATCGGGGGTCAAGGACGGCATTCCAATCCCCGCTAAAACTACCCGACGAGACGTCGTCAAGAACGGCGCGATCTGCCGAAACAAAGCAGGCCGCTCGAATGGATATTGGGCGCATAAACCCCAATGAGACGAAGAACCTTATCCTTTATGGTAACATCCAACACGCAAAGCCTGCCCGCCGGATCCGCGAAGACAAGGGGTACATGCAGTCTTCAAAGACCTGCTCACTAGCCAAGAGACACCCCTCGAACAACCATCAAAACATGCTGAATAAAGGGCGAACCCCTTAGACAGTATGTCCTCACGATCATGAGAAGAAAACCGGGTCTCTTGTATACAACATGTATTCACCCCGAGGCGCTGAAGGTCACGAGAGAGCCTCGCCCTGCGAGACTCGGACCTCAGGCCCCGGTCATTCAAACTAGCTAACCAAAGTGCCATTGTGAAACCGATTAGGGTTGCCCTTCAGGATAGAAGATGGCTGGGGTGAGGACACCGACAGCTCGTCCCATGGATCCCGACGCCATCTCATTCTCGACAGTATCGTCCTGAGACAAGCCGCCGATGTCCAAAGGGTAGGTGAGTTTAAGAGCTCTATAAAGGGATGGGTGAACGAAAACTGGGACCCTCCCTTTAAGTTTCTGGTTTGCATCATCATTATCTGGGTCTAGAAGGTAGGCAGCAGGGGGCACCATTTTTAGAGATGACTGGGCCTCCTCTATCATGCCCCAAATCTCCCGCGTACCCGGGCCAGTTCTTATAACGGTTAACACCCTTTTAGCAGAAGGGAAATTCTCATGCGTCTCCACATCAAGATCATTAAGTTTTTGGAAATTCCAAAGGACTTAAAAGTCCTTTGGATTCCTGGTCTGTCCAAAGACCTTTTCCGCCTGGTCCCGGGATACGCGGCAGACGTCTTCCCCTGGGAGATATGGTGGTTTTACTTTTTTTTTCTTTTTGTCTGTGATGATTTGAGAGTCAGGGCTTCTGACCCTTTTTTTTTTTTGTGTGTTTGGATGGGTGTTGACATAGGTGAGATGTTGGGCGTAGTTGATGGAGTCCACCCGGAAGGAGTCCTTAACGGTGAAGGCTTGGACGAATGAATGTGTTTTACTGGAGAGCTTGAAGCAGATTTGGGCGGATGTGGCTTTGTGAATTTTGATTTTGATGAAGAAGGGGAAGACGGGGCAGAGGATAGAGGGGGCCGGTGCCCCAGCGATTTTTTGATTTTTCCCCGCGTTTCACCTCCAACTTCTCTTTTAACTTCTTTAAGTCCAATATTTTTTCCCAGCTGAGATCATTCAATTTTTGGGTTGCAGTTGCTGTTTTTTCATAAGACGCCGAGGCGTCGCCCTCAGAGCTGATAGAGGGAATGGGGCTGTAGGTGACTTTGTCCCTGGTGTCATGTTGGGACTGAGGAACCGCTGTTTGGGTCTTCCCCTTGCCCCTAACTACGAGGCGCCATTCCCCCTCATCCATCTCCTTAACCACACTAGTGGCAGGCGTTGGTTTCGGGGGCAAAGTGGGATTGGACCCAACCGAGGGATTTTGCCCATCGGTCCGCCTCGCAGCTAGGCCCATTACAGGCGCCGCGGATTTTTCCTTATCAGCCAAGGGGGATTTTGGTCACCTACGACCGAACTCCAGGGGCCTTCTTCCCTGGGCAGGAGGAGGAAAGGTGACCAGTCTCCCACACCTCCAGCAAGTTGGTCGCCTACCAGTCACTATGACCGGCATTTTCCGGTCGCCGAACACCAAACAGTTGGGGACGGACTTGAAGGCCTTCTGGTCGAGCATGATGTCAAAAGTCCATCCCCCGTTCAAATTGTCGGAGAGAGGCCCTAAAATTTGGCCGTACTGCATAAAAAATGCAGCCAGGAGCTCTCCCGAAATTTGAGGAGGAACCTCGAAAACGGCCACCCTGGTCTGCCTGCGGCCTTCATATTCCTTTCTTAGAATCAAATCTTTTGTGATTAGCTCTTTCTTTGCCATGGCCAGGCAATGTTCCGGTGTGGGAAGCAGAATGTCCCACATGAAGAAACCCGTACCCTTAATAATTCTTTGGGGTTTTATCCCCAGGGACAAAAGTGATTTGATCACAGTGTCTTTTGTGGAGCGACAAATCTTTCGGGTTTTCTTGTCGACCACAAAAACGATCACCATTCACTTTGAGAACATATCGGGTTCCTGGACATTATCGACGAACCCATCTTTATTAACAAGATGGGCGTATCCTTTCGCCTTATCCAGGAAATCCGCCATGTTCAGAATACAGCTAGGGGGGACTTCCAGCAGGAGGGCGACTCCTCGGTCGTCTTACTTTGTGCCTCCTTTGGTACTTGGTCTGGTTTGTTAGCATCTCCTTTTTTGGAGATACTTGGGTCAGATTTTGGGTTTCCATCAGCCCGCTTTCTTACTGGCTTGACAGGGGTGTCGGATTTAGCGGCCGAACCAAAAAGGTCTTTTTTAACGTTGGACCGACTGGCACCGTCGGCCATATTGAAAAAGTGGAGACTACCACCTGCGGGTCTTCGCTATTATTTACAACTTTGGGAAAGGAGTTGGGAGAGAGAGAGAAAAAAAAAAAGAAATTAAACAAAAGTCTGGCAACACCAGAAAAAAAAAATAGCAAAGACAATCAAAAAATAAAACATCAAAATAAAAGACAAACTTGATCAATACAGTTAAGAAGGAAAAACAATGGCACCCAAAAGCCGCCGAGAAGAAAAAACAAAAATAGAAACTCCTCTCTCTTTTTTTTTCTAAAATTCAAAAATTTAACCAAAAGGAAAAGAAAATAAAAAGTCTAGTTTACAACCAGAAAAAAAAAGAAAAGAAGGAAAAAAAAATAAAAAAGCTTTCTTTTTCTTTTTTCTTTTGTCTTAAATTGTTCTTCTTTTTTTTTAAACTGATAAGAAATAAACAAAAATAAGAAAGTAGTCGTCCGGTAAGACTTTGTCAAACCGGACTAAAAAAAGAAAAAATGTGGGCCGAAGCCCAAAAACAAATTAAAAAACCAACAAAAGAAATGGAAAAAATTAAAAGAATAAAAACTTAAACAATAACTTATCAGAGAAAGGGTCAGTGTTTCAAACAAAGCTCGTCCAAAAGCAATGGAACAAATTTTCACGCACACAGCAGTACAAAAAATCCAAAAACAATCAAAACGGAAGTCAAAAACAGTCCAACAAAGATCAGTGGATCTCTTCTTCCTCCCCCGTCTTCCCGGTACCAACCATATTTATATGGTCGGTACTCCACTATGTAAATTAGGTGGATCATACCACAACAGATAGATAGATAGATAGATAGACAGACATACAAGGATATATATAAACAGATATAAACAGACTGTAATAGATAGATAGATAGATAGATAGATAGATAGATAGATATACAAGAATATATATAAACAGATATAAACAGACTGTAATAGATAGATAGATAGATAGACAGACAGACATACAAGGATATATATAAACAGATATAAACTGACTGTGATAAATAAGATAGATAGATAGATAGATAGATAGATATGCATGAACTGACATCGAGAGTTAAATAGATTGATGGATTGTACAAGCAGAGATATGTAAAACAAAGTACGAAGGGTTTGTTTTGTCGTCTCTCCAACTTCTGAGGACCTACCTCGAATATCAGCAGTCAATTTCTAACTAGTAACTGAGCCCGTAAAGCGCAGAAAAGAAACTGCCTTAGCCAACAGGCCGACTCCTTCTAGTTTATCTTAGTTTAAGCCAAAATCTGGGTAGGAAGGGATACTTGAATAACATTGCGCCAAATTTACTGATTGCAAAGACCTGTTTCACAGCCTAAAAAGATCAGGTAGCAAAAACCTTCCCTTGTATTTTATTACGCACTATTTTGGCCATCAAGTTACGAGGATAAAACTCCATTTCCCTAATGTGCATCCATTTTTTGTTAACGATGTACCGCAGTTTCATACATATCATTATTTTATTGCTTGCATTGAACCTTAATGCAAACATTTGACACGTTTGAAGAAGATTAGATTCGCCGTGAATCCTTCATGTCGTAATGTAGTTTCTCTACGCCATCTTTGTTTTTACGATCTCACAATTGTATCGAAGCTTTTTGAAGTTCGAAATTATATACAATATTATTTTATTATTTGTTCAATCTGCCCCATCAACATTGCATTTTTGATAGATAAATAGATAGATAGATATATCTATCTATAAATAGATAATAAAGAGGCAGATAATATAATGATAAAAAAAAGATATATAGATACGAACAGACTTAGATAGATAGATAAAAGGGCAGATAATAAAATGATATATATATATATATATATATATATATATATATATATATATATATATATATATATGAAGAAAAATATATACGGAAAAAACAAACAAATATCCCCACATACAATACATGCTGTTTCAATGTTAATATGTCAACGTCGGACGTTTCGGTCTAATAAAGCATCTTCAGGATATATTCATAAATTATAACATTATCAATACAACATGGCAAAGACATAGATAGATAGATAGATAGATAGATAGATAGATAGATAGATATGAGCCCACTGTGAAAGAAAGATATATATATAGATGGGAAAAGACTGATAGATACATACATGCACACATACATACATATATATACATGGAGCAAACAGACTGATAGATAGATACATAGATAAGCAGACAGACAATGAAGAGAATCTGATATATATATATATATATATAGATAGATAGATAGATAGATCTGTGATAGATACATGTGTGAGAGTCCGAACGTGTTGACATATAGATAATTAACAATGTGATAGATAAATATAAACAGACTGTGACAGACAATTAAGATAGATAGATAGATATAACGGAATATAGATAGATAGATAGATAGATATAGATAGATAAAGATAGATATGAATAGCCGTTGATATGATTAGACTGAGTTAAATTGATAAATTTTAATAATAAATATACAGAGATTGATAGATAGATAGATAGAGAGATAGATAGATAGATAGATATGACCAGTCTGTGATAGATATGTGTTGACTATGATAGATAATTAACTAATGTGATAGATAAATATAAACAGACTGTGATAGCTAGCTACTTAGCTAGATAGATAGATAGACAATGAACGGAATGAGATAGATAGATAGATAGATAGATAGATAGATAGATAGTTAGACAGATAGATATGAGCCCACTGTGAAAGAAAGATATATATGTGTAGTCCTTGATAATAATGAGTAGAGTGTGTTAAATTGATATACAGATATATATATATATATATATATATATATATATATATATGTGTGTGTGTGTGTGTGTGTGTGTGTGTGTGTGTGTGTGTGTGTGAGTATAATGAACAGAAAGTCATAGATAGATAGATAGATAATTTTATTACTACCTTTACTATTATTGCTGATTTTTATAAGAAAGAAAAGCATTTCGCTATTACAGGCTGAGTACCTATTATGCGAAATTCCAAAATCCGAAAAATGTTTCAGTTGCTGACATGACTTAAAACAAATGGAAAGTGATGTGCGGGTGTTGTATGTGATCACAGCTCTCTTGGGTGGCGGTTACCCAGCTACTTTGCCTCCATTAGCGCCAGTTTTCTGTTAGCGATCGTCAGAATAACCCCTTCGTTCGTGTACTACTTAACATGTATTTCGGGCTCAGCAAAGATATTATTCACAATTTTCTTGCATTTATATGTTTTTTTTTTGTTTTTTTTGTAAGTAGTGACCTTGCCTTTCGTACAGGTACGCAATGGTACGAAACGTTATTTTTACGTGAAACGTTAATTTCAGTATTTCATAATCCGCGTGAGCCTTACTTGACTAGGGTAATTACCTGTGTATCCATATGCAAATCAAATGTATCAAATCCAGGGTATATGTATAATCTGTGTTATGAAATATAAAAGGATATCGTATTTATGCTTGGTCCCGTTTTCAAGATGACCTATTTTATAGATGCTATATACCAAATAAATAATCTGTATTACAAAATGCGAAAAAAAAAACCTGAAAACCGAAACACTTCCGGTTCAAATAATTTCGGATAAAGGATTCTGAACCTGTGTTATTTTAATACCAGTTTTACTACATCTTATTATTGTTGCTTTTTAGATTTAAGCATTTTCACTAATATTATTTTATTTATTTCATATGCCATATTTGGTTTGGGACATCTGCTCTGTTTTTAGAGATTCTTGATAAAAGACGAACAAAAAATCTATGATAGATAAATACATAGATAGATAGATAGATAGATAAATACGTACGCACACACATATGAGCAGTCTGATATATATGTGATGACTGTGATAGATAGATAGATAGATAAATAGATAGATAAATACGTACGCACACACATATGAGCAGTCTGATATATATGTGATGACTGTGATAGATAGATAGATAGATAGATAGAAGATAGATAAATAGATAGATAGATACGTACGCACACATATGAGCAGTCTGATATATATGTGATGACTGTGATAGATAGATAGATAGATAGATAGATAGATAGATACGTACGCACACTTGAGCAGTCTGATATATATGTGATGACTGTGATAGATAGATAGATAGATAGATAGACAGATAGATAGATACGTACGCACACACATATGAGCAGTCTGATATATGTGATGACTGTGATAGATAGATAGATAGATAGATAGATAGATAGATACGTACGCACACTTGAGAAGTCTGATATATATGTGATGACTGTGATAGATAGATAGATAGATAGATAGATAGATAGATAGATAGATAGATACGTACGCACACTTGAGAAGTCTGATATATATGTGATGACTGTGATAGATAGATAGATAGATAGACAGATAGATAGATACGTACGCACACACATATGAGCAGTCTGATGTATATGTGATGACTGTGGTAGATAGATAGATAGATAGATAGATAGATAGATAGATAATGAAAAGAATGTGATAGAGATATTTAGATTAGGAAGAGGCAGAGATAGATACATACATATAGCTTAGATTAGAAGTGGCACAAGGCCGAAAGTAGGGGGGGGCACCCAGTGAGGATCGAACTCAGTGCTCAATCGTAACTGTTCTACCGAGGCAGGCTTGCTAACTATTACACCGCCTCCAGGTGCCCAAAATAAATACATATATACAGTGGGAGAGATATGCATTGAGTGTGATAGATAGATAGATAGATAGATAGATAGATAGATAGATAGACAAGACAATGAACAGAATGTAATAGATAGATCGATAGATAGATAGTCAATGATAATATAAGTGATATATAAAATATAATAAAATACGAGCAAAAAATCTGCAATGTTAATTGTCCGGAGCTGGCATTTCGACTAAAATCGTAATTTAGCTTCCCTATATAGTTGTCTTGGTGGATTTACCTCTGTGATATCTAGACTTTACCAATTTAATCACGGTAGAAAATTGGCAAAAGGATCTCATCATCTTAAAACGGAAATGACTAGTTTTCATTGCAAGTTTTCTGCTAACGTTTTTTCTCTCACAATTCTCACTTATGGGACTCTTTTTCAGTTCTCTGATTTCGTGTCAAATTTGATTTTCAAAAATTTAATATCAATCATTATTTTTTAATTTCTAATGCATTCTTATAAAAAAATCATTTCCAATCCATCCTTATATTAAAATCATTTTCAATCCATATTAAAAATCATTTCCAATCCATTCCAATGCATTCATAGTAAAATCATTTCCAATGCATTCTTATAATAAAATCAGTTCCAATACATTCTTATAGTAAAATCATTTCCAATGCATTCTTTTAATAAAATCATTTCCAATGCATTCATTTCCTAATGCATTCTTATAATAAAATCATTTCCAATACATTCTTATAGTAAAATCAAAAATAAAAATCATTTCCAATGCATTCTTAAAGTAAAATCATTCCTAATGTATTCTTATAATGAATAGTTCCATATTTATTCTCATAGTAAAAAAAAAATAAGCGTTTACAATGGTTTCTTATAATAAAATCATTTACAATGCAATATTATAGCAAATACATTCCTATAGTATATTTCTTTCCATCGCATTACTATAGTAGAAAACATTGTTAATGTCTTCCTACAATAAAAGCCTTCATAATGCATTCTTGAACTCTTGTTTTCACGAATTAAAATCGCCATATGTTTTTTTATACCTCAAAAATAAATAAATAAATAAATAAATGTGACACGGAGAAAATTATTTGAAGTAAAAGTCAGTTCGTGAAAGTAGAAATAAATGATGGCTATCAATTAATCGTGACGGTACCTGTATTTCTTACACCATACTAATTAACTCGTGCTTTATCATGAAAAACAAAAAAACAAAAAAAATAAACAAACTCATTTAAAGGCAGAAGTAAAACTAGTCCAAGTCAGCCAACGCCATGCATAGATTAATCTACGAAAATCAATAATCCCGAATTATCAGTGACCTATATACCTCGCCGATTACAATGTCGAAACGTACAGGCGTTCTGGATGCAATAATTAACAATCGCCATGCGTGCGATAGGCGTGGACACCAGCAGGCTTTTTTTTTTTCCAAATCGACGAATACAATCTTGTTTCTCGAAACTGTCGCGAACAGGTGCACATCCAGTTGCACACAATCGAGATTAATGAGCACTCTACTCACCCCTGTCAACAACAACAATATCTTTACTATATTTCTTTACATTCCAGACAATTGTATTCGCCTCTCTCAATGGACGGAGAGTCAGTAGGCACATTGGTATGGGTTCAATCCCACTCTCCCTGGCATCAGCTGAAACTAACGCTTCCTTTTTTTTTTTTTAGTTTTGTTTTTCATATATTATGATTATTTTGTTTACTCAAATTTTGAAAAAAAATATCCATACGTGTTTAAAGGTATTTTTCACTTGACAAAATGGCGGATTGTTCATGTGGTGTAATGGATAGCGGCTCGGACAGCCGAGTTCCCATTCCAATCGTGTGCATTACATTCATTTCCGATGCAAATCTCCCCAGCTATAGGTTAAAGAATACAAGTAAAAAGTCGTCACGGGTAAAAATAAAAAAGAATCACAAAAAAGTCACGATAAAAAGTCACAGGAAATACGTCACAGGACAAGTGTAGAACATAACATTCAAAAACCTAAAGGAAAAAGGCCCAGTCCCTTATATAATGTATATATATATATATACAAGTATATAATTGGTGTATACGGAATGAATTCCAATAACCAACTTAAAAGAGTGCTCAATACAGAGTAGAGCAGATATAAATATTTATTTAAATGAAATAATTATAACATAAATATGTTATAAAATCACTACAAAAATAGCTATTTTGTTTCAACCCCTCCGGTGTCTTATCAAGTAATGATGTTGAATGCAAAATAAATGGTTTTAAAAATTTCAAATTAATTAATGGTCCTTCTCAAGGGGAAAACGTTACAAAAGCTAGAATGACCAATCAAAATGCAAGTAAAGGAAAATTCAAAAAGCTTGACAACGAAGTAATAGCTATCCAGATCTTTAAAATACGGGTAATATTTAAAAAAAAGAATTTATTCTAACCAATAATTATTAAATTTTATGATAAAATTTGATATTAAAATTAAAAGTAAAAATTACCAATTTTAAAATCCAAATTTAATCATTATCAAGTTTAAAATTTTTAAATTACTGAGGGGAAAAGAAGAAATACATATGTTATTCAATTTATTTCTTCATTGAAATTACGTTAGAATAGACGCTGATATGTCATCCGGTCCTCTGACAATATGTATACATTGTAATCCCAAGTGTGTGAATTGGGTCCTAACCTCACACGTAAAACAACACAGACACACAGAGATTATAATACATAAGCACCCAGACCTAATATATAAGAAAACATATATCAATTTATATGATAAAAATATAAGTTTTTATTGATATTTGTGGGTTTGAAATATTCGTCTTTTAATATATTAAATGATATTATTTTTAACCATTTTTATCTTTGTATATTTGCTTGCTTAAGTTGTATTTTAATAAGTGGTTAGCTTTTGTTTAATGACACTTTCAGTCTTAAATAACTCTTGGTTTGTGGTATCTGCTTGCCTAGGTCAATGTCTGTGGATGTGTGTACATGTAGTCATCGGTGTTTATGTGTATGGAAAATGCATTCACTTTTAATTGTATGTTTGTGTTGGTTTCCTTTTCTTTCTTTTTTTTCATAAAGAGCCGTGAAGCTGTCCCTGTCTCGTCACTTTTTTGTGTGTATATATATCTAAATATGTCTGTATTTTGTTTGTATATTTTTGTAGTGATTTTATTACATATTTATGTTATCATTTTTTTTAAATAATTATATATATATATATATATATATATATATATATATATATATATAAATCAAATTGTCAAGTCAATATCCAGAGATCATATATATATATATATA